ACTAGGAGTTTAGACAAAAGCTCAACATGGCAAGCTGTCTAAGCAGTGAGACCAGGCCGAGGGTGATCGGAGCACATTCCGAAAATTCCACCAGGGCGTGCACCAAGAGAGTGAGGCCGATTTTTCCCCGAGTCCGGGTTTCAGGCCTCCCTAGAAATATCAGAAACCCTAAACCCTAAATAGNNNNCCCATGATATATAGTAGTTTCCATTTTCCTTTCCATTATCCCCATTATCCCTATACAACCCCAATATACCCTTTGAAGTTACCCTTTGAAGTTGCGGCTTTTTTGCAATTTTGCGACGCTGTGGGCAGGACTTCGCTCTGCATGCATCAGAGCACCTCTACTCCATGGAGCTTTACAGCCGGCCCTCCGAGGCTTCAGTTTTCCTGAGGTTTTAGGTATAATGTAGGGATAATATGGGATGATACTGGGATAATGGAAAATAACATGGAAACTACTATTTAGGGCTTAGGGTTTAGGGAAAAACCCAAGGTATGACCAGAAATGATTATCCTGTAGCTTGTTACATTTGGTAGTTTCCATGCATAGGGTGACCCTAATATGGACCCCAAATACCATAGTCCTTGCTATAGGCGCACCCAAAAATGCACTCCATATTTCATAATATACCTAGGCAAGGCCAGATCCCATTTGCCTCGAGTTTCCCATGTGGTTTAGGGTTTAGGGTTTACAGTTTAGGGTCTTTTCCCGCTCGAAGGTTTCGATTTTGGCCGGTGATCGCAGTGGCAACCTCATCGCTTTCTGCAGCCTGACGGGTGTGATGAGGACAGATAGGCACAAGGATTGATTCACTATCACAGGAATCGGAAGTGTTCTGATCATCATATTTTTCTTACCATTACCCTGACCATCACCATCACCATCGCCAATTACCCCCCACCAAGACCTCCCCCTCAGACAACTACTACAGTGATTATTTTTGGAGCGGCTGTTGTTGCTTTTCACGATGACTACCAAGCTCATGATTTTTGATATTACTAATGTACGTATTTAGACTAACACTATTCCTGTTGTTTAACATTTTTCATCTTATTGTTGTTCTGGCTACCCTGACCCTACACCCTAAACTTATCACTCACTAGCCTGAGGGTTCCGCTGATGCAGGAGCGCAAGGCTAGGCCTTCACTCCGATGCCATCACCGCCGTCTGCATCTCTGCAGACGGGCATACGGCCAGATGCCCGGAACAGGGTTTAGGGTCTACACTCCTCCAAACTAACATGGAAACCCATATAGTCCCCTTTAGAACAACCGTAGTCTTTGTAGGGCCCTTATTGGGTTTCCATCTTAGTTTCCGGGAGTGTAGGGTTTGAACAGGGTCCGCTGATCCCCACACTCCCAACCTCTGATGTAGGGGCCTAATCTAGGGCCTAGATAATTGGGATAGAGACTTGGGGAAGAATCTAGTGCAGTTATAGAAGAGTGATGAGAGGATATATGGCAGTTTCTCAAAGTAGGCAGACCCCAATCTAGACCCCAATATATTATAATCCTTATTATTGGGACCCCCAAAATGGTACCCCTAATTTTGGGAAACCTTCATATTTTCAAAGCACTATAGAATCCTAGTTTCCGTCTCATTTTCCATCTCCCTTTTTCCATTAGATTCTCCAGTATTGGGGTAGTATACCCCTCATAAATCTATAGATGTTGCACCACGCACCCTAAACCCTAATCCCTAAACCCTAAACCCCAAAAACCTATATATCCCCTATGAAGGTACCCCGAATTTCGGGAGACCTTCATGTAAGGTAAGTCCTTTGCTGCAGGTGGCCACTGCTGGCAAGGATGGTGCCATGTTCGTGCTGGCTGCCGCTGTCTCAAAAGCCAAAATGGGGGTTCCCAAAATTAGTTATATGGGGGTAATACAGGGGTTATATGGGGATAATTGGAAGAGAAAATGGAAGCTACTACTTAAGATTTAGGGTTTGTGGTTTAGGGTTTCCCAAAATAAGGGGTACCATTTTGGGGGTCCCGATAATAAAGATTATAGTATTTTGGGGTGTATATTGGGGTCCCCTTATTTTGGGAAACTACCAAATATCGTGGGTTCTCCAACCTCCCCCCAGGGTTACCCCTTACATGAAACTATTTAGGGATCATTTGGCCTAATTCAGGTTAAGGGGGGCAGTAGGGGAAATTATGAGAAGAGGAGCTTTCGTAGCTTGTTCGTGACGCGCTTTCAGGCAGACGGCATCTCCGACACGGCGCGGCCCGAGACGAGAGGAGGCTCCATGGAGGCCGATACACACTAAGTATCGGGTTTAGGGTTTAGGGTTTAGGATTTAGGGTTTAGGGTTTAGTGGCCCGCTATAAGCCCATTGTAACGCATTATAACTGGGCAATTTAAAGCGACCTCACCCTAAATGGTGCTTTGTATAGGGAATGGTACCAAAACGGCCTTAAGTCGGGAATTGGAATTATTCTGAATTACCTTGATTCTAGGTTGCTTAACCCATTAGGAACTCCAAGGTGTCCCAGTCATTTTGGAACCCAGTGGAAGAGAGATCCTGAGGTGGTCATGATCAACCGCGGGGACATTCAGCTGCGACAGGTGCCACGCATCCGCGAAGCCAGTTATTGAAGCTCTGGTTTGGAATGTCAGGACGAGATACAGGACCTCACAATGCAGATATCCACGTTCGGCTCTAAGTATAAAGGATTGTTTTTTATCCTTCCTCCAGTCGTGGCATTGCGTTGCGCAGGCTGAAGGCGCAGATCGAGGAGGATGCAGCGCGTCTTCAAAGCGACTCAGCAGTATTTCGCTGACTCCTGACATCGCACGTGAGACCTGCTTGGTCTTCATAGCTCGTGGTACGCATGTTCGGCAGGCGAGTGCCGGGCAAGGGTGGAGGAGGTGCCCTTATTACCATTATTACTATTATGATTACTATTCCTATTACGATTACCATTACTACCACTAGTACCATTATTGCTAGTACTACTATTACTACTACTACTATTTTTATTATTGCCATTATACCTAACTATGATTATTATTACTTTTAATATTCAACTATAGATGGTCAACTGAGATCCATGTCGTCGCCAGGCAAGGAGACAAGATCAAGAGAAGATTCAGAGTTTGCGTGCTCTCCTGGGCATTTTTCATAGGGTCGTTTTCCTAAATAGGGGGACCCCAATGTAGAGCCCCAAATACTATAGGTCTCATTAAACCCTAAACCCTAAAGAAGGACTATAGTCTATAATCCTTGTTCAGGGTTGAGGGTTTAACTATGGGGATCCCCCAAAAGGTACCCCTGATTTTGGGAAACCTCCATATCTTTGCAACTCGCGGGCTCTACCTCCTCGCTGAAGCATGCACCAAGGCAGCAAGTACGAAACCTTGCAGCAGGTTCGCTGGTGCTGCTGAGTGAGACTTGGTGCAGTAGTAGTAATATTCATAGTGATAATAGTAATATTAATAAGATAGTAATAATAGTAACAGTAAAAAGTAATAATAGCAATAATAGTAATGATTTAAATTTTAATCATGGCAATGATAATTCGTCATGCTAGCAATAATAACGATAATAGTCGGAGCACTTCCATTGCCATCATGTGAGCTGTAGTCTAAACTCCTAGTATCCCCCTGAGTAACCCTCGTAATACTCACCTATATATCCCCTTTTATAACCGCCTTCAAAGAGTTTCAGACTATAGTGCATGTGCCTCCCCCAACCTCTTACCCTAAATAGTGTTACAGGCATCGACCGTCAAAGAGCGAGACAGCTTGAGGAAGATGAAAGCCATGCAGGAGCAGCTGCTCAGAGTGTGTCAGCGCAAAAGGAACTGAGCTATAGTCTGTCCTGACACGCTGTCATATGGGGAATCATCTAGGGGAGTATCATCGGGGTTATTAAGGGGATACCAGGAGTTTAGACCCTAAGCCCTAAACGGGTTGTAAAGGGGACTGCTAGGGGTTGAGACTATAGCTCAATTGGCAGCTTGAAGAGAGGCGTTGCATGTACAAGCAGCAGACGATCAAGAAAAGGCCTGTGATCGGGACAGGTTTAGGGTTTAGGGTTTAGCGATCGGGACACAGACCCATTACTGGTAGTACTACCTTTGCTCTATTTTGCTCGGTGTCTACGATTCCTACTGACCCTTTTCTTAGTATTTCTATTGTTGCTACCTTTGCTATCATTGTACTTCTACTTTTGCCACCCTCACTATTCTTTGTGCAAGACTTTTATCATTTCACGTAGGCTATAGCCTAAACCCTAAAGCCTAAGCCTAGACCCCAAATGCTAAACCCTAAAGCAGCATACTGTTATAAATCATAGGTCTTGATCTTAGAAAACTTGAAGGGTCAGGGGGACTTGGTAAGTAGGTCAATAACCCCTGTAACCCATATAGTAAACCTAGTTATCCCCCATATTAATCCACTTACTGAGTTCCCCTAACCCTAAACCTTAAACCCTAAACCCTAAACCTCAAACCCTAAACCCCGCAGTCCTACGACAAGCGCATGCGAGCGGACGCGGAGAGCTACGACGCACTGGAGGCAACCCCGGCCCCCCTTACTTGGAGGGTCAGGGGGACCTATTATTTGGGGTTTGGGTTTAAGGCTTTAGGGGTTCAGATTTAAGGCTTATAAGGTTAAGGATTTAGGGATTTAGGGTTTAGAGTTAAGGATTCAGGGTGGTAGGGTTCAGGGTTTAGGTTTTAGGGTTAGGGGTACTTAGTAAGTGGGTTAGTAAGGGGGATAACTAGGGTTGCTATATGGGTTATAGGGGTTATTAACCTACTTACGAAGTGCCCCTGACCCTGCAGGCATGCTGTACTTGAGTTATAGTCTTGACTCCTTAAAGGGGAATTATTAGGGTTTAGGGTCTTACCTCGCATTCTAGGTAATCAAGTGGGATGCTAGGAGATTAGACTATACCTCACTTGGTAGAAGTAGGGTGAAATAGTAGTAAGATAGGAATATCAGGGAAAACAAATTAAGATCACATGAGAACCAGGCAAGAAGGATCATCTAGGATTATCCAGGTTTGTCTGAGACCTCTGGCTCCAATGTCATGATGCCGAACGTTGCTAGTACTCTTGCACGAAACCGATTGAACCGGAAAGCCTTCACGTTGCCCCATATGGTGGTTTCCCTAAATAAAGGGGACCTCAATATTGGGTCCAAAATACTATAGTCCTTACTATAGGGACCCCCAAAATGGTACCCTTAATTTGGGGAACCCCCGGAACCCCCATATTTTGTTAGAATACGAGTTGTCGAGTTTGTTTATGTCTTGGAGCACACCTTGATTAACTCTTTTTTTTCCGGCGCAGCTGCCTTGACTGCTTCGGTGATTGATAACAACAATGGAGTGGTATTTCTAATGGGGGCATTTTGCTCTCCAAAATAGAGTACGATTGCTTCCGCGTTTTTGGTGTAGCATTTCATGAAAGCTGCTCAATGATCCAAGCGCTTCTATCCTACTCCTGGTGCTTGTGATCTGCTGTGCCGCTGGTACGCTGTCTGGTGGATTTTGATCTTACCCTAAACCCTGAACCCTAAGCCCTAAACCTTAAACCCTAAAAAAGAACCTGAAGTTTGATCAACCCTGATCCCTTGGCCTTGAACTCTAGATGATGTGGGCATTGCTTGAAGTATGCCCCTTGTAGACCACTAAATCACAGGGTTTAGGGTTTAGGGCTACTTATCACAGAAACCCAAGAAAGCCCTAGCCCCTGTCCACCAGCTGCCATTTCATGTTCCATGTTCTTTCCGCTTGATTTTCCATTATTCGGTTAATATCTCCAAACCTGAAATACGCCCTACATAATCTCTATATGATATCATGCCTAAGAATCTCTATGTAGTTCGCCTATGCCCCCTATACAGTCCCTATATCGTCCCAAACTCACCCCTGTAAACCCCAAACCCTGAACCGGGAGCTCATGCTCCATGACCGTCCAAGAAGGCCGAACTCCGAGATCTGGAAGTTCGGTTCGAGCAGGCCTTTTTGGATGTTTTTTTTAGGGCTTTCAGGGCGGGTAAGGGTTTGTGGGTTTTGGGATGGAGTGTTGAGCGTTTTAGATTTTAGGGTTTATTAGTTTGGGATTTAAGATTGGGATGTAGGGTTGGTGGTTCAGGAGTCAAGGCGTTACCCTACGTGATCTAGTTGCCCTTATACCTGGCATCCAGCTGCACGTGAGTGAAACCTGCATGTCATGGAAGGCCCGGCAGAAGGCGCAGCGTGTTCTCGAAGCTCAGGAGCACAAGCAGGAGAAGGACCGAAGCATGATAACCACCATGAGATAATGGAAAAGAAAATGGAAACTACTATAGTAAATTGGGTTATATTTGGGTTATATTAGGGATTATATAGGGATGGCTTGACAAAGTAACCTTAATGCTTGAAGGGGAGGACAGAAGGGCTTCCACCCAGACGATTTTTTAGGTATACCTCTTTGTCTTACACGTGAGTCTCTATGTGACCTGCTCCTTGCCCTCTTCGGACTTGTTCGTCGGCTCTGTGAGAGTTGGAGGAAGTGCACAACCGACTGAATGAGAAGGACGCGGAGGCCTGCATTGTCTCTTTGGCGAACAGTACTCACGCTACTGCCTAGGTGAATACAGTATCCTTCAAGCGGGACACCCGAACAGACCCCAAGATGTGGGAGGTTCAGGGGGGGTCCCTGCCTCCTGTAAAGAAGGGGCACAAATTTTCGGAAACTTCCATCAGCTGAGTCTTGAAACAACAATACTGTCAGCAAGACATGCATAACGTTTAGGGGTTTCCAACAATCAGGGGTCCTTTTGGTGGTCCCCAAGCACGAAGTATATGGGAATTTATGTCAAGATCCCCCTGTTCATGAAAAGTGAAATTCCCCAAGCCTAAGCTCGAAACCCTTCACTCTACACCCTAAACTCCTAAACTCCTAGACCCTAAACCCTAAACCCCTAAACCCCTAAAGCCCTAAACCCTAAACCTAAACCCCTAAACCCTGAACCCTAAGCTCCTAAACCCTAAAGCCCATGGGACAGATTCAAAAGCTGAAAGACCTCATTGCCTTCACCCAGAAAAGATTTGATGCCATGCCTGGCCCCCGGCTCTGAGTTCTCAATGGGTTTAGGGTTTGGGGTT